TCAGTCTTTGCACTTTGTGGATGGTGAAACCCAGGCATAGAAAATTTATATAAGTTGTCACACAGCTATTTAGTGTCAGGGTTAGTACCAATTTCCTGAATCGTTTCCCATCCTAATGAATTTTTACCTGTCTTGGGTATGATTGATATATTTTCAAGTAACAGAATCCTTGTCAAAGAAAGTGAGGAAAATCTTACCCAGTTCAAGTACCAGCAGGATCTGGAGTCTGTGCAAGGTATTCCCTCTTCTGCCCACCCTCATCTACATTTTCTCTGACTGTCAGCTCCTTATCTGTCAACAGTTTCCGTGAAAGGCTCATAGTTTCTAAACCCTGAGTAAACGCGGTTAAGCAAGGCAAAAGACCCCCAGCCCGTCACATACAGATATTCAAGAGAGAGAGAAGTCAGGAATAGTTGAAGTTCAATGTCAGGAATTCTTGGCCTAAGTAAGACTTGACTCAGTTTTTCAGGAATTAGACCCCCATGTAGTCATCCTGCTGTAGCTTAAGTTCTCTCAAGCCCTAAAAGGTGCTGAGCGGGACTGAACACTTTCGCCTGTTCCAAGGGACAGTCTGCCACCAGCTGATGCAGATAACCCAGAAACAGCAGCCTTCACCCCTTTTACATAGGCTTGCCTTTGAATGCATTTTAAAAAGTATCATCCTACCAGAGTAGCAGATGTTTTAAAGATTTCGGATAACCCCAACCTCAGCATGTTCAAACTGTAGTTAACAGCACAAAGGAGCACTTCTCATTTGGTTTGGTTTAGGCAATGTCCTTTTTGCCAACTTCACTGGATATCCAAAAATAGCTAAGTTCTGAAATTAAGTGTTTTTATTTCTAAATTAAGAGCAGTATGATGGCCAGTGACAGATGGTACCAGGAGCCAAATTTGGCAACATTGAACAGGTGTTCACCTCAGGTCAAACCATTGCAGGCAGACGATGGAAGAGGGAGCTAAATCACATATTTGGCTCTATCCCGTCAGGGCTGTGGGGAAGTAATCAACTCTAGCCAAAAATAGTATGTGATTACACCCTATTGCTTCATTATAGGCCATCAGCTATTGAAAAATTCATGTTATATATTGATTATAAAAGGGGTCACAACGTGTTACCAAATATACTCAGAAGAGACACAACTGGCAACTCTAGCATATTAGTTTTGACTTAGATCTAAAACACTAGGTTTCATAAACATTAAACAATCAAATAGTTACTGTACTTCACCTTTATAGAAGGAATTCTTGAGGATACTTTGACTATATCACTAAAGCAGGGTTAGCACATTAAAAAACAAACAAACAAAAAGACAAAAAGTAATGTGGATCCCCACATCCCTTTTTTCTACTGTGGCAGACATCACTCATAGAACCACTTTTGCAATAACCCTGAACCTGGCCTCACAACCCCCCCCTAGACAGCCATTCTTTGCCAGTTAATTGGAGTTAGCACTCAAGATGGAAATTTTGGCCATCCCCCTGGTAAACTGAACTTAGATGTTCACAGACCTGTTCCTACTTCTCTCCATATCCTAATTCCAATGTTTTACCTGCAAAAAAGTGACACACAATACATTGTGGTAGATGGATAAGTGGCCCAGAAACCTTAAAAACAGTTTTTCATGAGCAAGTAGTTCTCAAGCAAAATGTTAATTGCCAAAATCAGACAGAAATAGGTTTAACTTGACGTGTAATTAAAATTTATGTTTTTGACTAGTGATTTTTGGATACACCAGTAAATGTTTCTTAAAAAGAAATCATAGTAAATGTTGGTGAAAGTGAAGGGAAGCAAATACATATACATCCAGTAAGACTATAAATTACTTATTAGCTTCTCCAAAGGGGCAATAGCTTATCAAAAATCATAAAAAAAGAATAATTTGACCTGGAAATATATTTCATATATTTCATGAAAAGAGATATTTTTGCAGAGATTTTGCTAAAAGGATATTTATCGCATATAATATTGAAATATTAAAAATTGTAAAGTCTAAAATTATTTCAATTAACAAATTTAAAATTAACAACTGTTATATGACCAACAATCAGGGATTAGCTAAATAACATTTATGGCCTCTCTATATAATAGTATTTATATTATATATTTGTATATTTAACAGTATATGGCTAAATTATATAAAATTGTCAGCATAGACAAATGTTTATTATGTAGTGATAAGAAATGAAAAGAGGTTGCAAAGTAGCATTTATGATGTGGTTTATTTTGTCAGGGTATGTATGCGTGTGCAAAAGCCCTAGTAAAAAAAAGTCTCAATACCCCAACAAGTTAACATTAACTATTTCTTGACAGAATGATGGGACTTTTTTCCTTTGCCTACACCTTTTTCTCTGTAATGACCATGAATTGCTTTAGTGATAAAAAGTAATTTTTTAGTATTTAGACACTTGCTTTCTAGAGAAGTTTATTTTTTATCAAAATTTTTTTTTAGTTTTTATTTGTTTAAAAAGTAATACAGAATTCTGAAAGAGATTTAAAAAGCAGCAAGGATACTCCCACCTACAGAATGCCACTCTTAACATTTTGGAATATTTACATTCATTTATTTACAAATAGATTATTTTGTTGTTTATTGAGGCATATTTTGTATACAGTACAATTCATCATTTTAAGGTGACGGGTATATGATATATGATGAATGTAACAACCACTATAATCAAGATACAGAATGTTTCTATCACCCTCAGAAATCCCCTCCTTAGCTTTATAATTAAACCACTCTCCCCAGCTGCTCTCTAGCAATCACTGATCTGATTTCTGTTCCTAGGTTTTCAACTTTTCAGGAATGTTATGTACATGGAATTATGCAGGAAGTAGCTTTTTTAGTCTGGCTTCTTTCATTTAATGTGATGCTTTTGAGATTCATCCATGTTTCCCTTTTTATTGCTGAGTTATATTGTATTTTTTATATATTCTTCTACAGTAAGCAAACATCCAAAATCCATTGATTATTCTTTTTAAGAATATCTGTATATCCATGTAAATATTAGAAACCCCCTCCCGCTCATGATCTCAGTGATGAGAATTTGGAGAGTAAGTCTTCAATCTGGCTCTCTCATTCACACATTCTTTGCTGTTTCCCTTTCTCTTTCTCCTTTCTTTTAAAATTCTTCTCTCCTTTCTACGGAAACACTGAAGGGAAAATAATGACAAAAGCCTGATAAGGGTGGTGGTTATACAACAGAAATGAGTCAATTATGCTTTACTTAGTTCTCAGTGTTAGTTTATTTCATCATAAAATAATACACGCTATTCATTACACCAAAAATCAGAAAAGCATTTTTAAAGGACTAGGAAAAATGCCATTATTGTGGCACACCTAAATTTTATATCTGTTTCTATTCTTTGCATGTTGTTTTAAAATTGTACTATGTATGCAATAATGTTTTATTTTTTCTAATGGAAGGGCATCCCAAATATTTTCTTGGGGATCTCCTTTCTTTAAGAATAGCTGTGCCAGGTGCAGTGTCTCACACTTGTAATCCCAGCACTTTGGGAGGCTGAGGCAGGTGGATTATTTGAGGTCGGGAGTTTGAGACCAGCCTGGCCATCATGGTGAAACCCCATCTCTACTAAAAATACAAAAAGTAGCCAGGTGTGGTAGCAGGTACTCTAATCCCAGCGACTTTGGAGGCCGAGGCAGGAAAATAACTTCAACCTGGAAGGTGGAGGTTGTGGTGAGCCTAGATCACGCCACTGCACTCCAGCCTGGGCAACACAGTGAGACTCTATCTCAGAAACAAACAAATAAATAAATAAATATTAAAAAAGGAATAGCTGTTGTGCCTAGCCTGCATCTGTCTCATTCATTCTCTCATTTAGCAATGCTCTTGAAAGCCTTAGTACAAGATGTACAATGCTGGGGAAGAAAAGCACAGTCCCCGCCCTCGGGGGGTAGTGCTGCCTTGATTACTGCAAATGTCAATAAGCAACATAAGCAGTAATTGGGAAGTGAAGTATGGGTGTTAAGTAAAGTCACACAAGGAGCAGCGACTGCCTATATTGAATATGACCTTCAGTCATATTTTCCTTTATTATCTCTATGTTTCCTAATTACTTTTCCTCACTCAGGAAAAACTAATAGAATTAGCAAATCATGATTATTGTCCTTTATATTAGGCAAATCATACTAAGATGACTAAAATGAATAAGCGCTTTACCAAAAAAAAAATCAATTTAAAATGTTAAAATAAAGATAAACTTGGTATATTGTCAAGTTTGTCTGTTCTATCATACTTATCTATTGTGCGCTTGCCAAAGAATAGAGAGGAATCTTTACATTAAATACGTCTCAAATGACAGGGTCTATTTTCAAAACATTTAACAACAGGGACAGAACAAGTGCTGATCCCTCAGAAGGAGACCCCCATTAGGTATGTGTAAATTCCTCAGTTGCTGTGTCTGGGACATCTGGCTGGTACAACCAGGCAGAGACCAATATGACTAGTATACCGGGGGCTCTCAGGAGATTCAGGACAGTGACTATTTACAAACAGTGCCAAAGTATTTCAACATGTTAACGCCCAGCGTGACAGGCTCATACCTGGAGGAAATATGTCACAATGCTGCAGGTGATTTCTGCTTTAGGGAAAGACATAGTGGTGACAACAACTCTCCTTTTAAAAGAAGAGCCTTATGTGTGGTAGATCCTCTGTTGATCCAAAAAAGTAAAAAGTTAAAATACACTTAGTTGAAAATCAGAGAGCGAGGAATTCAATGAACAGACAATTGAAATCAAATATTATAGGAATGCTGGTAGAGACAGAGGAAAACAAGGGCAAGAAAAGAGGAGAAAAAAGGCCCGTAGAAAAATCCTTTGACTGGGCTTGATGGAAGTCTGAAATGTCTGCTTATTTTAAAAGAAATAAATAAAAAAAAAAAAAAAGGAAAAAAAGTCATCATAGCCACATTGGCGAAATAGCACTATATGAAATTTTAATGTGCGTGATAATATTTTTAATAGCTTGCTTCCCTCTTTTAGCTTTCCTTATTGGAAAAAGCTGGATTTGGAGGTGTTCTTCTATATATTGATCCTTGTGATTTACCAAAGACTGTGAATCCTAGCCACGATACCTTCATGGTGTCACTGAATCCAGGAGGAGACCCTTCTACGCCTGGTTACCCAAGTGTCGGTAAGTTTGTTATTCATCATTATTATATTTGTAAGTAAGCATTACAAGGTTGCAATTTAGAATTAAATGCTACCTATCAGGAATAGTGAAGTCAAATAATTCTTATCATCCCATGTTTAAAAAAGCAATTTATTTTTTATCTTCTCAAAATTATAGACTACCAATTTGTTGGTATAAATTGGATTTATACTATAATGAAATTTTATCTCAACAAATTGAAGTATGATGAACAGACAGAAAACATATTTTATGTGTTATTGTTGGTTGACTGATGAGACAAATTAGCACAAGGAGTGACAGGCACTCCAGGTAGGCCAATCACACTTACAAATACCGAGGAGCATCAAATGTTTGCTGCTTCAGGGCAGCTGTAACAACTTTAAGTCCAGGGTCTAGAGGTCTAGAGGTCCGCATGATCAAGTTAGGTGAGTTAAGCAGTAAGAAAAGATTCTAGAGAAGAATGGATTTAATATGATTTTCTGGCTGACTTAAGAGAAGCGACTGCATTGTTTTGGCCAGTCACTGGCAGTATAGTGATGGCTACATTGCAGCAAACATGTTTCTCTTTCCTAGATAGCTGTATTCATGACATTCGGGATCACGTGGCAGAGAGAAAACAGCTGTGATTTTCGCAGATGCTCAGTGCATCACTGAATTTCTGTCCAATGTGTCATTGACAGGTATTCTGTTCATTCAGCCTGGCTGAGGAAAAAGCTCTTTGCATCTTCTTCCAGGGTGATACTGACCCATTAACCATGACACTTCAGTCAGTAATTAAACTGACCACCCCAAAATTATGTAACTATTTCTGTGTTCTGCCAATAGTTTTATTTTTCCCCCAAACCATCACAAAAAAATTTACTAGTTATCTTACTCAAATTCAGCTGTCTATTCTCTCCATGTTAACTTTACCAATTAATTAGCAACTTTCCCCAAGAAGAAAGCAAATGGAATCCCATATGAATTATAACTTATGAATTTTATAGAGTCTACTGATTATTGCTTTTTCTTCTACACACTACAAATGTATTCCTTTAATAATCCATGTCAATTTTATCTGGGATCTCACTGCTTTGTACTTTGTACAGTCCCAGGTCTTATTATTACAATTTTAAGTTAGAATTAGTAGGCATATATCTGCAATTTCTAGACATCACCCAAAGCACCAATCCAGCTCTCCCATTGGCAAATACGCTCACTGCCCCAGGTTGTAATTGCTCAGTGTCAGGAAGCTGCGTTTGGCAGCTAACTCGCTGTGACAAGTCAACGGGCTACAGTGCTACCAAAAACAGACTCGGTACTAGTACTGAAACTTAAGTTGGTAAGTTCTTCAGTTGGCACCATGACTTTTAACCATTTTTTTGCCCCAGGTCATTTCATAAATGCTGAGTTTAGTAATAGCTAGCAGGTGTTGGCCAGAGTTGTAAGCAGTTCCAACATGCTTTTTCCTACTTTTTATTCTGAAATAATTTAAACTTATAAAATAGTAGAAAGCTTCGAATATGCAGAATCTCTGAAATCTCTCTCTTTACTCTGCCATTGCCTTGATGAATAGTGTCCAGCTTCTTTTTACCCACACTAATGTTCTTATGAAATAGCTGCACCCCTGCTTTCCTCTCCTAAACATACTCTTTCATTTTTTACATGACCAGGTTGCAATTTTCCAAATTTTTCTGTTCGGCTTCTCTTTTAATTAAAAATTCCATTGAAAAACATTTTTCACTTCTTTCATTTGACTGTAAACCATCAAAAGAAGCCACACAGCAACTTGAGCACTTTGCTGCTTAGATATGTTTTTCCACCAGATAACTTCATTTATTGTTTTAAAATTCTACCTTCTATAAAGCCGTGGGGCATGGACACAATTCAGTCAAATTCGTTGCCACTTTTTAACACTGATGTCCTTTACTTCAGTTTCCACTACATTGTTCCTCATTTCTGCTTGAGACCTTATCAGAATAGCCTTACTGTCCATATTTCTGTTAACTTTCTGGTCATGACCATTGAAGTAATCTCTAGGGAGACATAGACTTCCCCACAGCTCTTGTCTGTTTTCTTTTTTTAAAGACCTCACTAGAATTGCTATTAATAATCCTAGATTTGCTTACAACAATTTAGGCTTTGTAGCCTGTTCCATTAAGTTCTTGGATCCTCTACCCATTATCCACTTCTAAAGCGGCTTCCACATTTCCAGGAATTTGTTATAGCAAATACCACACGTCTGGTTTCACTAAGCTTTCTTAGTCGATTTTGTGTTGCTGTAATGGAGTACCTGAAACTGAGTAATTTACCAAGAGCAGAGATTTGTTTCTCACAGTTGAGGAGGCTGGTCAGTCCAAGGTCACGGAGCTCACATCTGGCAAGGGTCTTAGTCATTTCATCCAGTAGTGGAAGGCGAAATGGTAAGAGACCGTCCATGAGAGCAAGACAAGGCCAAACTCACTTTTATAACAAACCCCTCAAAATAACGAGCCTACCCTCATGATAACATTAATCCATGTGTGAGAATACTTCATGATGCAATTGCCTCTTAGAGGTTGCACCTTTCAACATTGGGGATCAAGTTTCCAACACATGAGCTGTGGGGTACACATCCAAATCATAGGAAATGATTATTAGACAGACTAATCTAAAACTACCTTTTTTTTCAATTTAAGAACTTTGTGTTTTTTACCAATTTAAAGGTGATAAGCTGTAAAGAAGAAATTTAGAACAACCAAAAACACAAGGAGATAGTTTTTAACTTTCTTTGTTTGGTTTTTAATATAACAAAGTAAACAGAGTCATATAATGAACATTCCATATACCTCGCCCATCTTTAGCAACTGTCTACATTTCTGCCATTTTTGTTTTTTATCTGCACGTTCCCTCACACCCCACAGCACCAGTATTTCTTCCAGATAAAATGTACATAAATTAAAATTCAGCACACATACATGTAGGAGAAATTCGAGTCACTCAGGGTTGTTAGATCTTACATGGCATCTTAAGAAAGAACAATAAATGGGTAGAGAAGTATCAAGACAAAAGGAAAGAGATTTAGCCTTTCAGGGGTATCAAACTGTGAGAAGATAAATATATGCAGGGAAGTTAATGGAAGATAAAAGTTTTGTTTGAGTAAGGTTTGTTATGTAGTTTATTTTCCTCTGCACCTCTGGGTTAATAAGAGTCTCCATTAAAAGTTTAACCCTGATTTTTTGTAAATTGCGAGGGAGGCAGAGAGTGTTTTGTAGGGTATGGAGAGCATCTTAATGTTTCTTAGTTATCTTCAGCTTAAAGTAATCTTTATGCTAAAGTGGCATATTTGGGTACAGTGGCTTATGTCTATGATCCCAGCACCTTGGGAGGCTGAGGTGGGTAGATCACAAGGACAGGAGTTAGAGACCAACCTGACCCAACAATGGTGAAACCCCGTCTCTACTAAAAATACAAAAATTAGCCGGGTGTGGTGGTGCATGCCTGTAATCCCAGCTACTCCTGAGGCTGAGGCAGGAGAATCACTCGAAGCCAGGAGGCAGAGGTTGCTGTGAGCCGAGATCATGCCATCGCACTCCAGCCTGGGCCACAGAGTAAGACTTGGTCTCAAAAAAAAAGTGACATATTTGGGGGTGGCATATTCTGACTCCCTATGACTTGTTTCATCAACTTGCTATAAGCATTTCAACTATACTAAACTATGATCCGGACAAACTGATTTTCTAGAACCATGTATTTCTGGAATTCTAAGAGACTTTAGGTTTTATATAGCGAAAATGAATTCTCAATCTTGAAGCACAAGAATCCTGCATTTTAGCCAAAGACTCAGGTAAATGGGGCATACAAACTGATATTTACGTAACTAGTCATAGTTATAATACTATGATAGGTTGTAGTTTGAGTTGTATTTGACCTAAAATAATAAATCAGCTGCATAGGGTAAGGCCCAAAACAAACAGACAATAAGAGTGATATGAGGTAAGCATAAAAATAAGAAAGTAAGAAATATATATCTTTAAGGAGTATTCTATTTGGCCAGTGTTGAAACATGGAAAAGAAAACCCTTTCCGAATTTCTCAGCAGTAAGATTGTCTCAAATCTATTAGGAATAACAAATCCTCTTCTTGCATATAATTTCTTTAATAATTTGTCTTCTGAATTCTGCGTTGGCTACAGTGTTGATTTTAATTTTAGTACCACCTCCAGGTAACTGGTAATCTATTTACTACCTTGCCAGTTAATTGTTTGTTTTTGAATTTCCTTATATACCTTTTTCAGAAATCCATCCTGATTTAAAACTTTGCATCTATGTCCCTCTCTCTGTCTTTCTGCTACAATCCGTTTTTTCTTTTTTATTTGTTTTAAATTCTGGAGAGAAAGGTCTTTTCAGCGGCTTTATTCTAGTGAAGTGTATCAAATGACACAGTTTATTTAATATTCCCAGTGTTACAATTCAGTGGATCTCTGTGCTGTTTATCTACTGTCCGTTCAACATCACCCCTGCCAAGCAAAACTATTCAAAGAATAAAGAATATCACTATAATTTGTGACAAGTCATCACCAGGTATTCCTGGTCCAGTTACCCGGACAAATATCGAAAGACTGACTTGAGTTGGCACTAAATCAACGGAGACAATGTTGAACCATTCCCTGACTAGAAGAGCAGAAAATATAAATATGTGCCTAGTTGTCAAAGCAAAGTGTTAGATATTCACAGCATGAAATGCCTTGTCACTTGGTTGGGGAAAATAAAGTGTCTGAATTCTTAACTTATTTCACTGTAAGTGACTGGTGTTTCTTATACGTGTTCTGAAGGCTGCAAATTTACATGTAATAGTATTAAACTTGATTCTTAGAACCACTTAAGGAGTGGCTCATTGTTAAGCAACAAAATTTTTCAGAAAGTTTATTCATAACATGTTGAAAAGATTGATTGTTTAAATTCAAACTGCTCCTTTAAAAAGTCTAAATTTTGTTTCGAAAATAATTTTGGTGTTATAAGTTCTCTTGGCCCTACAGAGGAA